GTGTACGTGTATGTGTATATATACATAATATATATATATATATATATATATATATATATATATATATATATATACACACACACACACTTATATATATACAAGCACCATCCTCTTAATATGCTTCTTCCCCTCTTTCCTTTCCTTTCCCTCCACCTCTTTCACACTGTCCTTCCATCCCCTGCCTCTCTGTCCCTCCTCCCCCTCCCCCCTCCTTCTCTCTTCCTGACCCCTTTCACACCTCAGGTACAATATGTAAACGTAATCATAATTACACCTTAAACTATTCCCTAACCTCGTTAATTATTAATATTCCACCTTGCCCATGGCCGGGACACGTGAGGTAAGGGGGGAGAGGGGAGGGGAAAGGGGTGCTATGCTAATCGGGGAGGGAGAGAGAGGGAGAGGGAGAGGGAAAGGAGGAGGGAGGGAGGGAGGGAGAGGGAGAGAGGGTGAAAGACGGGGAGGGGTATTTGTGTAACTTAACGGGACTGGCGTTTAAGCATTCCGCCCACAGGCTCGGCCCATAGGTGGCGCTGTGCCTGAAGAGATGTGGTCAGCTACCCGCAGGACGAGAGAAGAAAAATCATGAACTTTACGTAAGCATTGACCAAAACGTATTTTAAAGATATCAACATACATATGAGATTGACAGTTAGTCTTCTTATTTTAATAGATGAAAAAAAGAACGATTAAGCTAACTTCCCTGCGAGATTGAGCGGCATTTGCCATGGGGGCATCGAGGGATCACCGACGGACCATTAGTTGGCATCACCGTCACATGCCCAGAGCGAGAGGCAGGGTTCACTGTATCCCCGCGTTAGAGTCCTGGTAAAGGGGTAATTTCACGCTTCCATTCATCGCCAAAGAAATCGAATTACCTACTGACGCCCGTCGATACCCGGTGTCGATAGGTAATCACTGCGGATAGATCGGTGAAAGGGAAGAGATTGAAGAGTGTGTTAGGTGTGATATAAAAAAGAGGAAAAAAATGCGACTAAGCGACCTCGCCAGACGCTATGGCCGCTGGTCCCACGGAGTTGAGATGTCATTTCTCCGGAAGGTGCAGCAGGAATGGAAGGAAGAGAAGGAATGGAAGAAAGTGAGGAGATGGGAGAAAAGGAGAAATTGAAGAGATTGAAGAATAGAAGGAATGGATGAAAGTGAGGAGATGGATGAAAAGGAGAAATGGAAGAGATTGAAGAAAAGAGGAAATGCAAGAGCTTGAAGAAAATAGGAAATGCAAGAGATTAAAGAAAAGGGGAAAAGGGAGAGATTGAAGAAATGGGGGAAATGAAGATACTGAAGAAAAGGAGAAAAGGAAGAGATTGAAGAAAAGGAGAAATGGAAGAGATTGAAGAAAAGAGGAAATGCAAGAGATTGAAGAAAAGGGGAAATGGAAGAGAATGAAGGAAAAGAGAAATGGAAGAAATTGAAGAACAGGAGAAATGGAAGAGATTGAAGAGTGTATTGCGTGACACAAAAAAGAATTGAGGTGGGAGATGACACTTTTTCTCTCCGGAGAGGAAGATGCATTCGGAATGGGAGAGATAAAATAAAGAAACTAAAGAAAGGGGGAAATGGAAGAGATTGAAGAGTGTTTTACGTGAGATCTAAATAAAAAAAAAATGTTTTGCTGGGGGGATGAGACTCCTTATCTCCGGAGAAGAAGACGCATCAAGTATAAAAAAAGATTGAAAAGCTGAAAATAAATGGAGAGGAATGCACTTGACAGACGTAAAGATGAAATTCACAAACCTCAGAAGGACACTTTGCTTCGTCGCTAAGTCATTTCAAAGTCATCTGTATAGCGTCATCATCCATTTTAATGAAGAAACAATAACAACAAAAAAGCAAGAGGAAAAACAAATATAAAAATTGCAAGAATGAAATAAAACTTAGAAATACGAAAACTATTAAAAACAAGAACAAATCTAAAAAAATATATTTTTCTTAATAACCAAGACCAAAACCAAAAACAAAGAATTCTTAAAAAAAAAACGAACAAAAAAAACAAAATATAAAAAATCCATAAAAAAACAACGAAACCAATACAACGAAAAAGCAAAAAACAAAAATACAAAAACAAGAACAACTTTAATAAAACAAAACAAAAAAACAATACAAAATAACATAAAAACTCTAGAATAAAAAAAAAAAAAAAAAATACCGAGGGCGGCCATGTGGAACATCAAATTCCACGTGGAATGCCCATAGGCCTATCTCGCGAAGGATTTAAAAAAATGGGAAAAGGAATGGAAGAGGGAAGGATAAATGAAGAAAGGGGGGGGGGAGGGGGGAGCCGGTAATGATTATATGTGTGAGGCTGTGATGTCTTCTTCACTCAAGGCTACGAGGAGGCCATGATTACGCCCGCTTGTTCCCGTGGGCGGCCTCGTCAACATGGGGTGTTTGTGTGCGTTTTGTTGCTATTTTGAGGATGTGTTTCCGTCGTCGTTGTCGGTCTCTCTCTCTCTTTCTCTCTCTCTCTCTCTCTCTCTCTCTCTCTCTCTCTCTCTCTCTCTCTCTCTCTCTCTCTCTCTCTCTCTCTCTCACACACACACACACACACACACTCACACGCACACACACATATGTATATATATGTATATATATACATATATATGTGTGTATATATATATATATATATATATATATATATATATATATATATATATATATATGTATGTATGTATGTATGTATGAGTGCCTGTGTGTGTGCGTGCGTGTACATATATAGCACCAGCAATAGCAGCGAGGTCGTAGTGGCAAGTGACCCCAGTGTAGGCGGCTACTTTGGCTCACTTCTTTAACGGCATCGAAGTCTCTGCGTTGGAGGCACAAGACGCACCTTTTTCTCCCTCATTTTTTCTTGGCATGATGAGGTTACATGTTAAGAACAAAGATGTATGTATGAATCTGTGTGTGTGTGTGTGTGTGTGTGTGTGTGTGTGTGTGTGTGTGTGTGTGTGTGTGTGTGTGTGTGTATGTGTGTGCGTGTGTGTGTGCGCGTGTGTGTGTGTGTGTGTGTGTGTGTGTGTGTGTGTGTGTGTGTGTGTGTGTGTGTGTGTGTGTACTGAATGTATAAATATTCAATTTTACATAATTAATTTTACAAAAGTGTCCTCGTCGTGATTTATCGCTCTTCGATATATATATATATATATATATATATATATATATATATATATATATATATATATATATATATATATAGTATATATATATATATATATATATATATATATATATATATATATATATATATATATATATATATACACACATTCACGTATAAATGTTTGTGTGTAATCTCGGACAAGGTTGAGTCTCGAAGAGCGATAAATCACGACGAGGACCCTTTCCCAAAATTAATTGTGTACGACAGTTATAAAGGGATGCTGTTCAATAGAAACGACCAGGTAGGTTGGGAAGGGAACAAGAAAAGGTTTCTTTTAAACGAAGATGACCTACAACGAAAACAGAAAAAAAAGAAAGAAAGAAAAGCCATTGCAAAAAATATATATATATTGCAAAAAAGAATACGAAGCTTTAGGCAACGCATTTTTACGCCACATCTCCCCTTTTACGGTTCCTGAATTTAACATCATGACGTCTTAGATTGTGGCATGTCTGTCTGTCTTCTTTTCTTCCTGTCGTTTCCTCTTTCTTCCTGTTCTTCGTTTTTTTGCGTTCTTTTTCCACCTTCTTTGTCCTATCTTCACCATTATTTTCTTTGTTACTAGTGTTAGTTTTCCTTTTCTTTTCTTTTCTATTCCATCTGTTTCTTAACTCTCATGATACTCTTTTTTCTTTCCATCTCCTTTTTCTTTAATTTATATCCTACCGTCCAGTATCATGTTCTCAGCGTGTTCTTTGACCCCAACCTGTCCTCCTTAACTCCCCATCCAGGTAAGCCCGGAAGAGGTACCAGCTTCGGCCTCCCTCCATTCTCCCCCCCTACCCTCCTACCCCAGCCCACCCCACCACCAACCCCCTGCCCGAGTGCTGTCCACGCACCCCATGATTTTACTTCTGCATCGTTGCCTATCATCCCTTCATTGCTGAAATCTCAATGACTGATCCTTCCTTTCTGTCCCTTGTGAACAACACACGCCTTAGATACGCATTTGTTTTCATATTTTAGAATCATTCATAATCTTTTATCGAGTTCCTGAAAACGTCCCTGATATAATATCTGCATTTCCTACGTGTAAAGGATTGTCCTCTTTTCGTGTTACTGTTACTCGGAAGATAAAACGAACGAGACACAGATCACCTGAAGATACGTCATTCACACTTGATTAAGATCAACGTTCTCGTGTCCATTCTCACCCCCGCGTTACATAGCAGTAATATTTCGAACGGCGTGGACGGCATATGTTAGACACGTTGATATATTCGCTTAATATCGTTATCTAACGTATTTTTCATCCATTGCCCGTTCAGTGGATGTCTTTTTCCGGTAAAGATAATAGGTAAAAATACTGTTATGATTGCCCACGTGTCTGATGTGTATTTTTAGTGGTGGTGTAAGCATTGCAAATTATGCGTTAATCGCTCGGTAGATGTAAAACTTGCAGTGTATGTTTTTCGTTACAGATGTGATTGGTATGTTATCAACTCGGTTCATGTTCTGAAGGTGTAGCTATGATTATATTCTGGTAGCTGATAGGTAGTTTGATATGGAATGTCAATAATTTGTATGGTCACTCGATTATTATTATTTTTTTTTTTTTTTAGAATATTAAATCAATTTCGTAGGTATCCTTGAACAATGTTCCTCTAAAACTGACAGTGATACAACCATGACGTTAGCAAATCTTAAAAGATTTCAATGGTATTCAAAACTACCGATTACTAAACGCCACTCCCGTTTCCCCACCAATTTCAAACACACCAGTTTCATGTGCAATAATGTTAATATCCTTCCTCCGCACGAAGACATAAAAGACCTGTCACAGTATATTAATCTTCCGGGATGATAGAACACCTGTACTCACCTGCTACAGTACCGACGACCAGCGCCAGGACGACCACCTTCACCCCGACCATCCTGACAACGCGTCGGTCAGGTCATCGACGTCCCTCTTCGTTCCTGCAGGATTTTAGCTTCTGAACTACGACGACTCTGGTCGTAGTTGACGTCGATGCTTCTGAATTTCAGCGATGAAAGGAGTCTTGCTTTTTATTGCCGATCACAGACTTCTAGAGAACTTGGGTGATTTCAACGCTCCTTTAAAACGCCCCCAGAAAACAAACACACTGAACAAGCTTGATATAAATCGTCCTCATAAACCAAAAAAATAATAAGAAGATCCTCCTTCTCACGGACTACAACGGACGTCAAAGAAGACCCAAAAGAGCGACCGTAAGATAAAAAAGATCTCTCTATATATATACTCCCTCCCGAACGAACGAGGAGCCGCGTCGAGGCCCGTGCGATGACCGTGGCCGTGAAAGGGAGAGTGCGGATGCGTTGGTCTTGGCGGCCCAGAACACACTGCACGACTCGACCTGCGCCCACACACACACCCCACCCCCAAACCCCGACGCGGCGAGACCTCTGAGAGATGGATAGGGAAGGGGGGAGGGGGAAATAGGGAGGGAGGGGGAGAAGGAATAGGGAGGGAGAGGGGAGAGGGAAATAGGTAGAGGGGGAGGGAGAGGGGAGAGGGAAGTAGGAGGAGGGAGAGGGAGAGGGAAATAGTGAGGGAGAGGGAGGAAAGGAAGATAGGAAAGATAGAGGGTTGGAGGTCGGAGAAGAAAGGGATAGACAGGGGAGAGACGGAGAGGAATGGGGGGGGGGAAGAGACGGATACGGAGGGAGAGGAAAGAGAGGGAAGAGAGGAAAGATGCAAGGATGTGGTTTGAACGGAGTTAAAGTGTGTTCGAAATATCAGAAGATGGGGTCTGGGAGAGGAGAGATGCTGGTGGGGGGGGGGGGAAGAGGAGGAAGAAAAGAAAGAAAGATGGAGAAGAAAGGGGAAGAAAGAAGAGTTATTAAGAAACGAGAAATTTAAGAAAATGAAGAGAGACAAAGATAGATACAGCTAAAGAAAAGAAAAGAAAGAAAAATACAAAAGATAAACAAGGAAGTAGATACAAAATAGAATTAAGAAACAATCAGAGAGGGACAAAAAACGCGGAAAGAAAAAAACAAAAGAGAGAGAGAAAAATAATGGAGGAAAATAAGACCAATTCTAAATAAGAATCAAAGAAAACAAAATCACAAGAAAAAACGTGTTAAGAAAAACACAGAAATAAGAACGAAAAAAAAGAAAAAAAGAAATACGTCTGAAAAGAATATATGAGTTATTTTAGGAGTTACTTAAGAATATCAAAGTATTGTTTAGTTAGGATTTGGGAAGAATGGAATATAGGGCAATTTTCGTAAGAGAACTGAAGATGTTATCTGGACCAACGGTATAAAAAAAAATATGACACTATCTTCCTCATTGCTTCACTCCACCTCTCTTCCTGTCCATTGTTTCTCCTTCTTTCATATTCCCCCTCTTCCATTTCTCTTCCCTCCTTTCTTTAATTTGATTCTCCCTTCTTTCCTTCTCCACCCTTTTCCTGTTTTTCCCCGTTTTTTCTTTCCTTCTCTTCTTCTCTTTTCCCATTTCCTCCTCTCTCGTCCTTCTCACCCCTTTTCTCTCTACCTGCCATCTCCCCGCTCTCTCTCTCTCCTCTTCTAATCCTCTCCTCTATTTCTCCTCTATCCTTCCTTCATCTCCTCTCTTCCCCTTTCCCCTGTCCTTTACGTCTCCACTTCATCTCCTCTATTCTCACTTACTCTTTATTCCCTTCCCACTATCTCCATCTTTTACTTTTCCTCTTTCTCCTCGCCTCTCTAATACCCTTCCCTCTTTTATTCTTTCCTCCCCTCTCTTTCCCTCCTCTTTTATTCTTTCCTCCTCTCTTCCCCATTCATTTTCCCCATTCCCCCTTCCCTTCCTTCTCTTTCATCTCTATTTCCCATTCTTCTTCCCCTTTCCCATGTCCCCCCCCCCTTCCCCTTCTTATCCACTTTCCCACTCCTCCTTCTCCCCTTCGCTCTCTATTCCCTCTCCTTTTCTCTTCCGCTTTCCCTCCTCCCCTTGCCCTTCCTATCTAACTCTCCTCTCTCCTCTTTCCCCTTCCTTCCCCACTGCCCCTCATCTCTGCTTCTTCCTCTTATCTCTGTTTCCCTTCCCTTCCCCCTTCCCTTTCCCTCCCTTGCCATTCCCTTCCCTTTCCCCTTCCAATTCAGTCTATTTCCTTTCCCTTTCCCTTCCCCTCCCCCTTCCCTTCCCCTCTCCTCCCTTCCCCATCCATTCCCCTGCCCTTCCCTTCCCCTTCCCATTCCATCTCTTTCCTTCCCCCTTCCCCCTTCCCTTCGCCATCCCTCCCCTGCCCTTACCTCCCCCCTTCCCATTCCATTTCTTTCCTTAACCCTTTCCCTTCCCCTCCCCTTCCCTCTCCTCCCCTCCCCCTTCCCATTCCATCTCTCTCCTTCCCCCTTCCCTTCCTCTCCCCTCTCCTGCCCTTCCCTTCCCTTCCCTCCCCCCTTCCCATTCCACCTCTTTCCTTAACCCTTCCCTTCCCCTCCCCTCTCCTGCCCTTCCCTTCCCCATCCCTCCCCTGCCCTTCCCTTCTCTTCCCCTTCCCATTCCACCTTTTTCCTTAACCCTTCCCTTCTCCTCCCTCCCCTCCTCTCCCGTCCCCTCCCCTAAACTCCCCTCCCCTCCCCCTCACTTCCATCTCTTTCAGTAATGACTACCGTTCTTCTCGCTCCGTTTCGCCGTCGCTCCAGGACCGCGGCTCCCCGCTGTTTCACCCCAGTTCTAATTTAAATAGTAAACATGGCCCCGGGGCGAACTCTAGCTCCCCGGATAGGAAACACTTGTTTCCCGTTCTCGGTAGCGGTATCGCAGCGCCCCATCCCTCCCCCACCCAGCCACGTGCACTGCCCCACCCTTCTCGGACCCCCTATCCCCCTCCCTTGTCGGGCCACTATCCCCTCCCCCCTCGCTTCGATACCCCCTTCCCTCCCTCCTAGAACTCCTATCTCCCATGCCTTACACCCCCCCACCCCCCGACCCATCGCTCGCGCCATCACGGCTACCCACATAACCCATTGCTTTCATCTCCTTTGTTTTACAGTTATACTCTTCGTACGTTGTTTTTTTGGCTTCTTTTCTTACTATTATACCTTACTCTTATTTCATGTTTTAGTCGAGTGTTACGTCTTATAGCTCATACTGCATACTTCATACTTTACCTCGTATGCGTGAGTGTCCGGTTTACTTCTTATTAATAGCCGTTTTCTTTTCTTTCTGTCTGTCTTTCTTTCCTTCTCTATCCATTTATGTCCCTACTTCACTTCAGTTCGAGTCAACTCTTCGTGATCGTTGTATCTAAAGGAAGACACTTTTTTATATTTTCCCTCTCTTGTTTTCAGCTATTTGCCTTCGCCATTGTTAAGCATCATTTTTTACGCTTTTCGGAATTCCTTTGTTTCGACTTTGGTAGGACTCGAATGACGTCATCACCTCATCTGCGCTTCCTTCTTCGTATTAGTCTTGGAGAATCGCTCCTTCCCTCTCGTCTCTTTGTTCTGTGGCATCATTCCTCTCCCACACTCTCCTTAGCGGAGTGACGCAGCCGATGATCAACGATGGAAATGAAATCAAAATGGCTGTGGGCACGACGTTGGGATGGTCATTTTTATTTTTTTTAAATCGTTGAAAAATAAGAAGAGAAAATGCGTAAGAGAAACGTAAGTGGAAAAAGAAGAAGAAATAAATGCGTTTAAAGTAGAAGAAAAAAAAAAACGTGAATCGTTAGAACCGCATGATATCAGTGAAGCTATTTGACAGTAATTAAAACAAGTCATGTAAGAAGGAACACGGAAGTTAGGAAGGAGAGGAGATAGGAAGGAGAGGCGGAAAGGAAGGCAGCAAAGGGGAGGTGAGGGGAGGGTGGATAAGGTAGGAAGGAAGAGGAAGGGGAAGGTGGATAAAATAGGGAGAAAGAGGATGGGAAAGTGGATAAGGTGGCAAGGAAGAAGAGGGGAGGGTGGATGAGGTAGGGAGGATGGGGAAGAGGGTGGATGAAATAAGAAACGAGGAGGGAACAGTGGATAAGGCAGGAAGGAAGAGGAGGGGGGCATGGATAACATAAGGAGGAAGGGTAAATGGAGGTGGATAAGGTAGGAGAAAAGAGGAAGGGAGGGTGAATGAGGTAGGGAGGAAGGGAAGGGGAGAGTGGATAAGATAAGAAGAAACGAGAGGTAAGGTGAATAAGGTAAGAAGGAAAGGGAAGTGAGGGTGAATAAAATAAGAAGGAAAGGAAGGGAGGGGAAGGGAGGGGAGGGGAAGGGAGGGAGATAAAGAGGGTTCTTAAAGTCAACAACAGTATTGTTCTAGACCACATCTTCCCTCCCTCCCTCCCTCCCTCCCTCCCTCCCTCTCCTCCCTCCCTCCCTCCCTCCCTCCCTCCCTCCCTCCCTCCCTCCCTCCCTCCCTCCCTCCCACTACCCTGCCCTACCCTCCTACCCCCCCTCCCTCATCTATCCAAGGACACGGGCATTTCCTCAATCATGGATAGTTAAGTCATCGGTGATCACGTGAGAAAATGGATGTTAAGATGGACGACTTTGTAATTTGAATTTATATATTCCAAATTTATGTATAAGGTTATTATTTTACGAGTGGGAAAAGAAACACGGAAGAAAGGATGGATGACGAATGGATGCTGTGGTAGGTACATAATGTAAAGAAAAAATAGGAAAATAAAACCAAGATGCAGAATACGGGAAATCAAGGAAAAAGAAAGTTGCAAGGAAAATTGTGTTGAAGAGTGAGAGAGAAGGTTATAGGTTATTAATATATTCTTTGATAGATAATTAATAAAATTGTTTGAGAAATGTGTGTGTGTGTGTGTGTGCATGTGTGTGTGCGTGTGCGTGTGTGTGTGTGTGTGCGTGTGCGCGTGTGTGTGTGCATATGTGTGTGCGCGCGTGTGTGTGTGTGTGTGTGTGTGTGTGTGTGTGTGTGTGTGTGCGTGTGTGCTGTGTGTGTGTGCATATGTGTGTGCGCGTGTGTGTGTGTGTGTGTGTGTATGTGTGTGTGCGTGTGCGTGCGTGTGTTTGTTTGCGTTTGTGAGTGAGTGCGTGTGTGTGCGTGTGCGCGTGTGTGTGTGTGTCTGTGTGTGTGTGCGCGTTTGTGTGCGTGTGCGTATGTGTGTGCGCGTGTGCGTGTGTGTGTCTTCGTGTGTGTGCTTATGATCCATTAAGTTGAAAAAAAAATATGCAGAATCATCCAAAAAACACTAAAACATGCACAAAAAATAAACTCATTCTTTACCCGCAACCCAGTTCTGTTTTCATCTTTTAAAACCTATAGTCATCCAGAAGACGCAGCGCACACGAGTAACACATGTGGTTCCATGTCACTGGAGTATC